GACTCAACATAAAGATCAGCACGTAATAAAAGATACAGGCATAAATGCTCCATACACTCAATATATAAAAAATGCTCAAGCGAATTCTGGGATAATCTATAGGATATCTGAGAATTCCAAAACCGAAGAGAAAAGTAACTAAATAAAAAGAATTCAAAGCTTCTTGTATCGTATCAACCATGATATCACACAACTCTCTCGCAGTTTAATATACTAACTGTCAAAGATCCGAGTTAAATATAATATACTGTTAAATATAATGTAATGTAATGTAATGTACTGTCTACGCGTATCATATTTATGAAGATAATAGACTAACACTTACTTGAATTGCGCATTAGCATTATTAAATCGTGGATAATGGACAACATAGATGTACGATAGAATTTGATCGATTCTCATACAGAGTATTAACAATTTTTTAGTTGTATTTTTTTACTTTTGGCTATAAGTGGATTTATGTACGTTATATAATAAGCATTATAATATATAACAGTATAAAATTCATTCTTAATAATAAAACTATTTTTAATTGTATATCTATATATAAATATATATTTTATCATTGTTTTTTATTTTAAATGTTTTGTTGAAAAAAATGATAACTTATTAATTGTTATTAAATTTGTCAATTATTTAAAACATTATATTTTATATTTATTTGTATATTTAGCATTACAAGTAAATTGATTATAAAATGAACGAAATTATCACAGAATGTTACTAAAAATCTTAAAAAAAATATTTGCTTAAATTTTGAAACCTATTATATTTAGAAATGTATACATATATGTATATTTATCGTCGCGTTACTATCGCTTATATAGTACATATTATTGTTTCTATATAATTAAATTAATTGTTATACTATTAATTATTATATTAAATTTCTTGCTAAATTTGTTTGAATGCATTCTGTAGAAAAAGGAAAATAAATATATCAAATAAGAAAAAATAAATTATAAGGAAAGATTGATAAGAAATATTTACATATAAATTTTACTCTCAATATTCATATATATTTAAATATATTTATCTTATAATCAAGGATTCCTTCATTTCTTGTATCAATGTTTCTTAACGATGTCATTACAGTTATGTTTCCTTTTTTTTAAATTATATATTTTTCTGGTATCGTAGCCATCTGTATTATGACGATCACACACGTTATTAATTTCATGATAAACTAAAAGAAAACATATCAGTTATAGTAATTTGTCTTGTTGACAAAAAATTTTATAGTAAAGATTTAAAATTAATTATAGAATTATGTTTAAAAAGAGAGAGAGAGAGAGAAAGAAACATTTTTTTAATATTAATATGTATAATATAAATTTCTGTTACATAATTCTACAAAACAATAAAAATGTTATGTAAAATAATATAAAAATATAATTTGTAGCATGATAACTTATAGAAATAGTTTATTATCGAATAAAGTATAAAGTAAATAAGAAAATAAATATATAGATATAGACAAACTAACTTTTCGCAGAAAAGCACTGCCAAAATAGGAACCAAATCCTGTAATTCTTAGTGGATGATATATCATTTGCAACGTAAACTGGTAAATCTATACATATAAAAAATTATTATAATTTAAATAATGTATTTAAAACATTTGCCTTTCACTATATACATTTTTTTACCTCGTCACGAACATCAGCATATCGAAAAAAATCTGTTATTTGATGAATAATGTTTTCCATTTTATTAGCCTAATTAAAAATCGATAATTTATAAACAATAATAATCAAAAAATATATTTTTATAATTAATTTTATAATTATTATGTGTATAATTATTATATTATATATATTTGTTAAAAAATTTTAATAAGAATTTACCTTAATGCTGACGTTTTCACAAGCGTAATTTAAACAAAAAAGCCTAATTCCATGTAAGAGCATCCACAATTGGACATCAAGCCAACCTAATGGCGATAATATATTTTTTTCTGGCGTATGTGAAGAAATCGAATTGTAAAGACACCGACAATATCTTATCAAATATATCATATAACTTATCATTTCCATAATCATCTGTATTCTGTAGATCTCGTTTAGTTCGCGGACAATTTTACACAATTCTAAATGGAGATGCCTATTTAAAAAATACGATTTATTAATATAAGAGTACACGTAGAAAAACGCGTATGTATAGAAAAAACTTGTCATGTAAAATTCGCATAAGTTTTTATCAAATTTTAAATGCACTGTCTTTTTCTTCTATTGTTAGTAGTTAAATCTGAATTTGTTATTGTTAACTTTTTAAAAATTGAAGAGATTTTTTCCGATCAAATTTGAATATCGATTTACATTGATGTCCATAGCACACATTTGTAATAATTAGTACACCTGATATTTCTATAAATGGTTAATAGGGTACATCGCAATCCATTTTCGTTACTACATTCCTCTTTTGTCAATAGACATTTCATATGCTCGTTTAATTTATCAAATCTAGTACCAATGTACCTGTGTTAAAATAAAAAAGCATTTACATACATAATCTCAGAATATATAAAATATAAATTATTTATTAAAAAAAATTATTAGAAAAATTAAGTTTTAATGTATAAATCACACATAAATTACAGTTCTCTTACGAAATTATTTTTATTGAAAATATAAATGATAGCCTAATAAAGTATTTTATATATTTTACCAGTACTAATCATTTGTTATCGTAATAAATATATTAATTCTTTTGATTATTAAAAAAACATAAAATGTACTTACATATTTTGTGACTATAATACTAACCACAGAAAAATTATAAGTGATAAATCCATAATCATGTTAACATGATAATGATGATTTGTGAAATAAATAACGAATAGAATGGAGCGTCGACGATGATCTTTTATTACACTCCACCACCATGGTATATCACCTATATTCACTACATTTATAAACACTAACCATCCAATTAATATTCTTTTCATATATGTGTGCAGTTTGGAATATATCTTTGGAGTGCCTAATTTTTCCAACGTATCGTCTACAGCAGCAAGCCTTCTTATAAATATTTGAAATCTCTAAATAATATTAAGTATCAATTCAGAATGTGCTTATTTTTCTATAATGTAAAACATAACATTTATGTGCACAAAAATTATATGAAAATTTTTATTATAAGGTGCTATATTCTTTACTCTGTAAAATATTATAATTTGACTATATTATTTGACTATTTCTATTATAAATTAAGTATAGTATTCGAGAATATGCACATGTATACCTTGTTATGATAAAAATTCATGATAACAGATACAATGATGACAAAAAGGGATATCACTGTATTAATTAAAGAAGAGATTTCAAAAATCCATTCTTCTACTTTAAACTTAATTACTAGAAAATAATAAATACAAATGTAAATAATCCAAATTGTTAGATTGTAAAAAATATTTAAGTTAGCTATCTTCGGAAAGAAAACACCAAAACCGAGAATAGAAAAGTCAAGAATAAAGGGTGTAAAGCTTGTTCTATGGTAATCGCCATAATTATATCACGTTCGCGGTTTCTGAAGCAAACTGACATTATCTGTATGTACGAATTCATTTATCTTATACAGCCCATTTATCAAAACAAAAGTACTAAGAATAGTATATAATGGTACTAATGCATTAGCGCTAATTATTTATGTCTTTTTTACATATGTACAATGACGAAGTTAATCGATTTCGCTTAACATATTAACGCTAATAAGAGCTTTCTTCATAATCAATAATATAGATTTGTCATTATACATATAAATTATAGATTTATTATATAACTAAGTTAGGATTTATGGGAAAGATCTAAAAATGGTACAAAATTTATAAAAATTAATATTTTATATTTTAATTATCCTCAATTTGATAATAAAATATTTCGAAAAAATACATGTCAATACCTAACATAATAATATTTAAAATGGGATCCTAAATTTGGAAAAAATTGATTATGGTTTTAATGACCGAAACTATAGTAATTAAAAAATGCAAGAGCGGGCTTCAAAATATTAGAGTAAAGTTAAAGAAAAGTAAATGAAATCCATTAAAATATTAATATTAAATAACGATTTACAAATTTTGCAGTTTAGTTTGCATGTTACACAGTTTATTTTTTAAACAATGTAATAAATAAAATTAAACCTCTTATTAACAATTTTAAATAATAGTATACAAAAATTATAATGTTTAAAAGAAATATGATATTGTCAAATTTTTTATTATTTAATCGAGTACTCTAAAATGATGCAACTACAGATGAAAAAAGTGAAACGGATAAAAAGAAACAAAAAAAGAGAAACGAAGATAAACGGGGAAATCAAAATAAAAAAATAAATAAAATGAAAATTTCTATGGTAGTAATCATAGTCATATATTTTTGTGACTTTTTACGTAAATTTATTCAAATTTATTCAGCAGATACATTGTTACTTATTTATCAAGGCGATATAATAATATACTACTAAAATACATATATTTAAATTGATATTTGAATATTATTGCATTATATGTATAGTACATTAATTACATTAATTAATTTTTTCATGAACATACATAATAACATACATAGAGTCGATTGATGTTATTAAAAAATAATATTAGTATTAATAATTGCCAAACAACTTTTATCTTAATTACAAAGAGAGTTATTATTTCAAATATTTAGTTATATAACAAAAGTAATAGTTAAATAATATTATTTTTTAATAAATAAAGAAAGAAACACACACATAAACGCTTTTAATTTTATAATTAATACATCATTTTATTTTGATGGAAGTTAGTTTTGTTTAATACTAGAAAAAATTATTATTTAAAGTATAAACATATAATATTAAAATAATGTAAATATATAATTCTCACAGATATTAATTAGATATAATAGCTATTATTTTTTTGTAGATATACATATAATTATACTTTAAATAATTAAAAATATAAATATAATAATAATTATAGATAGATATAAAGAATTCTAGAAGAGAGAATTTACGTTTGTTTTCTATTCTAGAATTTTAATTTGACATGTCACATTTTCCCTGGACATTACTTGATACAAGGAAGAAGTGCCCATTTGGATTACTAAAATAATAACAGAGATCATCCAAGCGAAGAACTGAAAGTAAATATGAAATATTAGGAAGCGAAAGAATTAATTTTCGCGCGCGTTGGCTCTTAGGTCGATTTAATTATATATATATGATATTAAATATTAGTTTTTCTTGCTAAAATCAAATTTTTATATTACAATAATTTTGTACAAATATAGAATATAATATTAAATCTAACCTTATAGAGGAATTTGTGGCCAAAGTTAAATAAACCCATTCCGCTAAATTTTAACGGCTGCAGTGATATTTGTAAAACAAACTGGCTAATCTACATTATATATAAAAGTAATAATATTATTGAAAAATATAGTATATAAGTTCTTTAAAATTGAAAGATTGTTATAATTGCTAAGATTTACCTCACCTCTTCACGTGCTTTATCAAAACGAATAAGATTTGTCAATTTATGAATAATGTTCTCGGTTTTCTGTGCCTAAAATAATATAAAATTTATGTTGCCTAAAATCTTAATAATAATGCAAACTTTTCAATAATTTTAAATAAACATTTATATAAATAATTTTGCAACTTTTCCTTTCAGAAAGAAAATATTTAAATGTTTAAATTTTTAGATTAGAAACTTAAATTTTCTTTTCCTTTTTTCTTTGATTCAAAATTGTAAAATATTTTTTTAACATTGTATTTCTGATTTAATGTTATATCAAAGAAATTTTTTTCTTATAATTTAACAGAAATCAGCTTACTTTGGTGCTCACGCTTTCGCAGATATAATTTAATGATATGATTCTTATTATGTCTAAAACACACGACATGTTGCCTCTAACAAAACATCTCCAACTAATAGTACTACCATTGCACATTAAGTATAATATTCTGTAGTACTGATAATAAAACATACTTATTAAAGTGACAAAATAACACATTATTTGTAGAGTCATTTGTATATCAAATAAACTATATATATCGAGTGCTATTCGACGAAGTTGCGAATGCAGATGCCTAAAACAACATTTTAGTATACTGTATATACATATAAATACACATTTTTGAAATATCAAAATATAATCATTGATATGTTTTTGCGGCAATTATATGCGCGTTAGCATTTTATTAAAATTAATGAAACATAATAAAATCAACTTACATTGAAATTATTTTATTGTATAAAAGCATGAAATTTGCATGTTTAAATTAAATTACTAGAGTGGCAATAAAGTGCAAAATTTAAAAATTTATAGAAATGTATAAACATATACATATATTAGAGAATTTATTTATTATAGAGATAATGAGTAAATAAGTAAATATAAAAATATCTTAAAAATTAATGCAAAAATAAAGTAAATAAAATTATAATACATTAAAGATAGGTATACAATTAATAATATTAACTTCCGATTTTTACATGTCATGTGAAATTTTTTGTCATTTAAAACGCGTATCAAATTACATTGTGGTCCATAATATACGTTTGTGATTCATTATGGTACAATAATGAGTGACGAGAGATGATTTTTTCCACATGCATCTAAGTCCATACTCTTCTGTTTCTGACAGTACTCTAATATAGTAATTTATTTTATCATATCTTGTGCCAATATATCTGTAATTGAAAATAACGCATTCTATTTTTTTTTAAGCTTGTTGCAAGATAAAAAATGAGCGTACATATTATGATTTCTTTTTTATATATTTATTTTATCTGTTAAAATTCCATAATTAAAAGAATAATATATTAATAACTTTTGCATTCGTACATTGAATTGAAGAATTTAGATTTAATGTGTCATAGCATATAAATAAACTGTGTGCCCTGTGTTTTTGGTACAATATAAAATAAATTAATAAATAATAAAAATATATTTTAATATACATAGTTTTAATAATTTCAAGTCTCCTTTCAAATTTTAAATAAAAGCAATAAGCAGCAAATCCTCTTTTTCGTCAATGATTAATAAAATAAATCAAATAATTTTTAACGACCCAACTGGCAGAAGGACCCAAACCAAGGGTCGAAACGTCGTTTTTAATTTTAATTAATGTCTAACTAACAATAAAGATATTTTTTATGCCAGTTGAGTCGTTAAAAATTATTTGATTTATTTTAAATAAAAGGTTCAACATTAATTTGAGTTATCTAAAAATCTAAATTAAAGTAATGATTAATATTAAATAATTTTAATAAAATAATTCTTGTCTACCTAGACTTTAATATAGGTTTATTTACATATAAATTAATTTATATATGTAATTTATATTTAAATAATTATATAATTATAAATATAATATATAAATTTATTCGTTTAAATATAATATATATATTATTTTTATACGTTTATATAATATATATATATATATATATATACAAACCTTAAAATAAACATAACCATCATATCTGTTAAAATATTGATAAGATAAGGAAAATCTGTAATAATAGGAATTACAGAGGCTTTTGTATCATTATATACCTCTATGTTGCATAAAGTGTGAATAGTAAAAAATATACAAATATGTATAAACCATATAATTATTATCCATTTAATCGAGCTTTGCATTTTACGATATTCTTTGGGTGTTCCGAATTCTTCTAGAGTATCATCCACTTGATTGAGTTGGTTTATTAATACATTAAATTTCTGAAAACGGCAGCGATAAAAATATTTAAAATTTTGGTAAATAAAGTAATTAATATAAAAATAAAAATAAAAATAAATAAATAATTAAAGATAAGGATAACCTGAAATTAATAGATAATATTTTCTTATTTGTTTTGCTTAAATATTTTACTATTATATATAGGAATAATGCAAGATTTTATATAGAAAAAATTTACCTTGTGTTCGCAAATAGTTATGATTATAGTTATTAATGTCACTAGCAAATTTATTATTATCATAAAATAAATTAGAAAGTGCCATGAACGTGTACGATTCAAAAAGTTGAAAGCCACGTAATATAAAAAATAGGCATAAATACTCCATACACTCAAAATGTATAATATGCTTAAGCTAACTCTCGGGCAATGCCAAGGATATCTGAGAATTCCGAAACCAAAGAGAAAAGCAACTAAATAGAAAGAATTTAAAGCCTCTTGTAAAGTGTCGACCATGATATCACACAACTCGCTCAATTCCATATACTAACTATTAAAGTTCCGAGTTAAATGTAGTGATGTATTGTGCATTATATATTCGTGAAGATGACAAATTACTTAATTGAATGTAACACTTCATTGAAATGCATTACTATAATTGAACTATTAATATGTAGGATAGCACAGACGTAAAATTTGATCGATTTTGAAAGAAAACATTATCAATTACGTCTTTATTGCGCGAGTGTCGAGGATCGACTGGCAATAATAACGCGCTTTTATTGAAGGTACCAAAGTAGATTATCATATGCTATTCACATTTTGTTAACGTATATGTACATATATGGAATATTAAATTGAATTATTTATATATTCGCGTTATATTTTTAGTATTAAATGACTGTCATCGCGAGGGTGAACAGTTGAACAGTCATTTAAAACAAAATTAAAATAAATAATAATAAGATAAATATGATATTTTAAATCGGCCAATAGAGCCCAAAGCGCGAAAATTAAAATAAAATTAAATAAAATCATTAAACAAAATCAGATAATTACGCGCGCATAGCACGCGCTTTTCTTGTTCTAGTACATATAATTAATTAATACAGAGAATGTGTGGTGTCTGATATAAAATAAAGTTTTTATTTATGATATGTGATATAATATTATAAAGTCGAGGCATTCATTATATAAATATAACAGCTATTATTTATACGCATTACTGAACTTGAAGTATTTAAAAATATATAAAATAATAATATAGTAGGGGCTTACATATAAAACACTCTACAACAATCTACACCTCAGTTTCTTTAATGAATTCCTTGCACGTCACATTATTCCTGCTAGAAACTGTATGATGTGTAGAAGTATCCATTTGAATTATAATAATAATAACAGTGAGACTCGAAACAAAAAACTGAAAATATATTAAGCATTATTATTTAAAATTTTCTTACTTAAATCAAATTTTTATATTACAATATTTTGTTACAAATACAAAGTACAATAACAAAATCTGTCTCTACCTTACAAAGAAATTTGTAACCAAAATAAAATAAACCCATTCCATTAAATTTTAACGGCCGAAGTAATAGTTGCAAACTGAATTGGCAGATCTGAAATTGTATGTAATGTATAATATATAATATATAAAAATCATTATATGTTATTGAAAAATAATTTATTTAAGTTATTTAGAACTGGAAGATGTTATAAATTATTTAACTTACCTCTTCACGTGCTTGCACAAAATTTGTCAATTTATGAATAATACACGTGGTCTTCTGCGCCTAAAATAATATACAATAAAATTAATTATAATATACTGAATCTTAATAATAATTGCATAGTTTTCAAGAATTTTATTTAGATATACATATATAAATAAATTTTCCATTCTTTTTGTATTAAAAAAATATTAAAATATTTATTTTATTTTAAAATTAGAAAGCACATTTTCTTTTATTTCTCAGGAACATAACTGAATTAAAATAGTTCTTTAATATCATATTTATTTCATATCATACCATATTCATTATCAAATAGTTCTGTTTGCGTTTATATGTAAAAAAATTTTTTCTTATAATTTAATAAAAGTCAGCTTACTTTAGCGCTAACGCTTTCGCAGATATAGTTTAATAAGATAAGTCTTATTAAATCAACAACACACACTATGTTGCTCATAAGGAAACATTTCCACTGAACGGCATCACCAATGTACATGAAGCATAATATCACGTAATATTCAACATAAAAAACTGCTGTCAAAGTGAAAAAATATCGCAATGTCTGCAAAGTCATTTGCATCTCAAACAAACTATTTATATCACGTGCTATTCGATAAAGTTGCGAATGCAGATGCCTAAAAAAACATAAAAAATCAAATTGAAATATATAATGTAATTTTAAAGTAAATAGCAGAATAAAATTCAAAATGTATTTTATCGTAAAGAATTAAAATGTGTTTATTTTAAGTATACTTATAAAAATGTATGTATGTTTTAATATAAAATTTATTTATTACGGGAAGTTTAGTAAGTATTAAACAAAAAATGGCTACAAAATCAATATGCAAATGTTATAAATAAAATGATAATGTATCAAAAAGAGGAGCGCTATATATTTACATGTAGCTTTTATAATATCCCTAATAAATAAAATTAGTTTTTTTTAAATAACATTATTTACAATATTTCTGTGTCTTAGCGCATATCAAATTACATTGCAGTCCATAATATACTCTTGCGATTCTTTGTATTATGGATAAAATGACGAGTAATGAGAAACGATTTTTTCCACATGCATCTGAGTCCACACTCTTCTGTCTCTGACAGTAGTCTAATATAGTGATTTATTTTATCATATCTAGTACCGATATATCTGTAATTGAGAAAAAGAGTATTCTAATTTTTCAAAGTTTAGTGCAAAGTAAAAAATTAGCCTTATATTGTTATTTATTTATAGTATCATTTACCAAGTTCCATAATTAAAGAAATAATAATACAAATTAACCAATATTTTGCATTTATATATTGAATTGAAGAATATAGATTTAATGTGATATTGCAAATAGATGCAGTTTAAAATAAAGTAATAATTTATTACGAATGTATTTTAATATATAATTAGTATCTCTAATCTTGCAATTCAAAATTTATTGATTTGAGTTATTCATACTAGAATAATGATTATCAGTAAATAATTTTAATAAAATCATATTTATATATACAAACCTTAGAGAAGACATAATAATTATATCTATTAAAATATTTATATAATAAGAATAATTCACGACTAGAGAAATAATAAAAGACATTATATCATTAAACATATCTATGGTGCATAAGGAATCAATAGAAAATATTATAGCGACTATTATAAACCATATAATCATCAACCATTTTATCGAATTTCGCATTTTATGATATTCTTTAGGAGTCCCGAGTTCTTGTAGCGTATCATTTACTTGATCGAGTTTCTTTATTAATATTCTGAATTTCTGAAAACAACGGCATGAAAAAATTTGCAATTATAAAGTATTTTTGTAAATAAGATATACGAATAACATTTGCAACGATTAGATAATAAAGTAATAACATTTTAATAAGAATATTTTTTGTCGAAATTTTTATTAAAAAAATTGATAGGTGCAAGAAAGAGTTAAAAAAGGTAAAATTTATTAATTGTGCTCAAGTCTTCAGTTGCCTTAAAAAATAATGTTTCGATATAACAGTTTTTATGTCATTTATTCCTTTCAAATATATAGCATATTCTTATATAATAACATACTATTATATAATGTAATATTTTATGAGAAAAATGTACCTTATCTTCGCGAATAGTCGTGATTATAATTATTAGTGTCACTAGCAGATTCATGATTATCGATAAGTAAGGTATAAGATTTCTTATACGACTCCACAAGAAGATAAGCACGTAATAAAAAAAATAGGCATAAATATTCCATACACTCAAAATATATAATATGCTCAAGCGAACTCTCGGATAATTCACAGGATACCTGAGAATTCCGAAACCAAGAAGAAAAGTAACTAAATAGAAAGGATTTAAAGCCTCTTGTAAAGTGTCGACCATTATTACATAACACTCTCAATTCCGTATACTAACTGTCAAAGTTGCGACATAAATGTAGTAATGTACTCTGCATCATAATATTCATGAAAATAATAGGTTATTTAATTGAATGTAACATTTCATTGAAATGCATTAGCATAATTAAACCATTAATGATATCGCAGACGTAAGAATTTGATCGATTTCGAAAAAAGCATGAACAATTATTTTTGAATTGCATTTTTTACTTCTAGTTAGGTATATTTATTTGTATCACATAGGAGTTATTTCTGCATTCGGTTCTTCTTTACCTGTAGTATATATATATATTTTTTTATTTTTTATTCATTTATTCCTTGGATACTGTCGTGTACATTAAAAATAGCTTACGGAATTTAAAGAATTTCTTTTATATAGATCGTAAGTGTCATTTTTAGTTTACACGTGACAAATCGTATAGAAATCAATGAATGAACCCATATTTAAAAAATTTCTTACTGTCGATACTTTGAAAGAGTAAGAAGGAAAGATCTTTTTCTTATTCTACCCATTCATATATCGTTCATTCAATACGATTTGTCACGTGTACGATAAAAACAGCTTACGATTTCTAAAAAATAAATTCCTCGAATTCTTTAAATACCGTAAAGCTATTTTTAGCTTTCAGAAATTTAAAGAATTTCTTTATATAAGCCGTAAGAGCTATTTTTGGCTTACGGAATTCGAAGAATTTTTTTTTATAAATTGTAAAAGCTATTTTTATCGTAAAGGTGACAAATCGTATAAAATGAATAAACGAAACCAGATATTTAAAAGATCCTAAAGTATCTCGACGGTAGTTCGAGAGAGAAAGGGAGTCGCGCCGAGCGGACTTATATACCCATACTGGAGGTATTTCACATGCGGGAAAGTTTCCCGATAGCGCTTTGCGCTCCCTCTGGCTATATAAGTCGCACTGCGCGACCGCTACGTCACTCTTTTCGTAGACTTATTTCCGCTTACAGTTGCGTTCAGTAGTATGAGATTTTTTTAATTTTGTTTTTTTTTTTTTCTTCGCAGAATTCGTATGTGTCAAAGATAGTTTACGGAATTTGAAGAATTTCTTTTTATAGATGGTAAGCTATTTTTAGCTTATGGAATTTAAAGAACTTCTTTTTATAAGATCGTAAGCTATTTTTAGTTTACGGAATTTGAAGTATTTCTTTTTATAGATGGTAAGCTATTTTTGGCTTACGGAATTTGAAGAATTTCTTTTTATAGGTAAGCTATTTTTAGCTTATGGAATTTAAAGAACTTCTTTTTATAAGATCGTAAGCTATTTTTAGTTTACGGAATTTGAAGAATTTCTTTTTATAGATCGTCGTGAAAACTTTTCAGCGTACACCTGAATGAAAAACATATTTAAAAAATTTCAAATTGTCGACAGTAATTCGAGGGAGTAAGAGAATTTTTTCGATCGATCTTGGGTAAAAAAGATCCATCAACGTCAACTTTATTAATAATTTCTGAAGAGTTTGTCTTGCTTTAGATATTAGTTAGTTTATTTGTAGAGTGCAAAGAGAGGTTTTAAAATATCGCCATTTAGTGTTTTATAAAAAAAAGATCATGAATTTACAGAACACACAATAAAGAAACTGAGCGTTATACAACTTAAACCATTTTTTATAAAAGTTGGATTAGATATATGTTTATTTATAGAAATTTAATTTATTATTATTTTTAATAATGTTAATAATATTAAAACGAAAGGAAAGGAATATTTACAACATAAAACAATTCTCTAAAAATTTGTCGGCTAAAAATATTCGAACATCTTTGTATGTATAAAATATCAAATAATATAAATTAATAAAATGAATCAATAATTATATGCATAATTAATATCATAATATTAAATAATGTCGATATAATTCTCAACAGTAATTGTTTACAACAGCAACTTTGCAGTATAATTAAGAATATACAGTGATATCAAGTAATAAGCTAAAAGTACTACATAAAACACTCAGAATTACATATTTTTATCATTAACATGTTCCATTATTTGTTCTACAATTAAAATTCGAGATAGAGGAGAATTATCCATTTGCACCATGAAAATCAAAACGGAAATAATTGCTGCAATAAACTGAAAATAAATATTAAATATAATTAGTTGTTTTAAACATTCTGCTAATCTAAGTTCTAAATAAATTTAAAAAATATATAAATTGCATTATGCTTATATACAAATGTAAATAATATATTAGATGCTAACCTTACGAATAAATCTGTAGCCAAAGAAAAACATGTTTATTCCGTTGAATTTCAATGGTCGAAGTGACATTTGCAAAACAAACTGGCAAATCTGCATTATAAAAGTTATTTAAATACCCTTAATAGGGACCATTTAAAATTGGAAGATTTTATACTAGAAGATTTATCTTACATCTTTGCGTATCCGGACAAAATAGACAAGGTCTGCCAATTCATAAATCATGTTTTTGGTCTTCTCCGCCTGAAATAATATGAATTTAATTTTATAATCTTGACAATTTGTAATTGTTTTTATCCATAACAATGATATAAATTCGGCGAATTGTACATTAAAAAAATTGCAATTTTTATAAATGAAAAATTCACAGATTTTTTATTTAAAAAATTTGAAAGAGATTTATTTTTTTATTTTTCTTTTAATAAAATTACTTTACTAAAATACATACAAATACATATAATAAATAATTTTTTCTTACAATTTATCTTAAAGTTATTCAAAAACTCACCTTTGTACTAACACTTTCGCAGATATAATTCAGTGCTATGAATTTTGTTAAAAATATGCCGAACCATATATTGACACGAATAAAAATGTTAGTTTACTTCCTCCAATATCCCAATTAATTTGTTTGAGGCATAATAGTATATAATATTCCAAGTAAAATCCTCCAGTCAGAAAAACGAAATACGATATCATTTGCAGAGTCATTTGTATTCCAAAATAGCCATTTATATTGCTTGCTATTTGGCAAAGTTTCAAATGAAGGTGTCTAGAAAAACTTTCTATTAATATAAATATATCTAAGACGCCGAAATATTTAATCATATTTTTTTATTAAAAATCTAATTTAATTCTTTTTAATTAAGAACTACAAGCAATGCAATGTCTCTTT